AATATAAGAAAAACAAATACCACAATAACACTCAAAGAAGGTATAAACAATATCAAAATAAGAAACAAAACAGAAATCAAAGAAAAGAAATGGTTCAAACACAAAATCAAGAATATTGGAAAAGACTCTTTGAAGAAGAAATTAAAATACTTACACCACAAGAAGTAGAAGAAATTAAAAATACCAAGATTAAAGAATATACATCATCAACAATATGGAGAAGATGGTATTTTCTTGCACGAGAAAAAACCAAAACAATCAGAATGGAAGAAGAGACTATTAGTATGACGATGGAAGAAGACAATAATCAGTACAACCCAATTGAGATTAAAGACAATAGAATATGCAATAACTATGTAATGAGTATTGAAAATGAAGAAGACGATGATAAAGATTCTACGAGAGTAGAAGCTAGGCTTGCTGAGGAGAAGAAGAAGCTGGTAGAAGAGGAGAAGAGGTTTACTAAAGGAGAGAAGAAGAGGCTGGTAGAAAAGGAAGAAGAAAACAATGAAAAGGAAAAAGAGTAGAAGAATTGAAAAAAGTGGAGGAGGATATGAAAGAGAAAGAAGAAATGAAAAGGAAATACAAGTAAAAGAATAAACCATAAATAAACTAACAAAAGACATTATGGCATTAAAGAAGAAGCATGAGAAGGAGATAAGCACAAAAAACCACGACTGTGACAAAAAATATTCAAATTCCATGCTGAATCTGAAAGGAAAATGTTTGAAGTAAATAATTTAACACAATAATTATTATTCCTGAAAGATAAATTATCTAAATTAGAAAATGAAAATACACAGGAAGAAAAGAAGAAAGGTGAGATAACTTACAATATAACAGACTCATCTGAAACACAGATTGTGAATGACCTCTCCCCCAATGTGGTAGTAGCTGATGAAATATCATCAAGTGAAGATGATCTTCCAAAAAAAGAAAGTTAACGCAGAAATCCATTGAAGAAATGGATATTCAGCATAAGAATATCACCACATTTGAATTAGACAATCAAAAAAACGGGGGAAGCAAACAGATAGAAAAGAAGAAATTTTAACATTTTATAAATGTTTTGCTTTAAAATTATTTGAAAGAAAATTAAGAGGTCAACTTAAAGAAGAAATAATAGAAAGGTTAATACAAGAATTTGGAATTAAAGTTAATGATATTAATGAATATAAAGAAATAATAAAGAAGACATTTAAAATAAAAAATGAAAATAAAAGAGAAATTAATAGAATAATGGAAGAAGAAATAATAAAGCATCAATAGAAAGATAATGAATTAAAAGAAATAATAACTAGAATGAACAAGAAAGAAGAAATATAAGAAGAAGTAATGAAAATAATTAAAGAAGAAGAAATAAAAGAACAAGAAGAAGTACAATTTATTAATTATTATTACAATAAGAAGAAAATACATCAAATAATTAATATAATCAATAAAAATGAAATAATAATCAATACATTAGATGATTATTATCATTATATTAAAACTGTAGCTTCCACTATTAACATCATTAATAAAAATGAACAAGAAAGAAGTGGAAAGAAAAGTATAGAAAGAATATTACAATCAAAAATATGTAGATTAAGAGATTTACTCCATAATAAACAATATATGAAATTAAAAAGAATATTACATATTAAGAAATATGATATATACCACATTAAAATAAAAACAATTGAACAAATAAACTATTATAAATACCTCCGAAAGATGAAAAGAATAGAAATAGAAGCAAGAAAGAATAATTAGAAAAGAATAAGATTGAAATATAAAATGATGAAATATGGAAAAAGGCAACATCTAAATAAATCTAAAGAAGATGAATATCCAGATAATATCTCCACTATTAATTTCTGGAAATGAATCTATGAAACTATCACTAATATAGATTTTATCTAAATATTAATTGAAAATAGAATTAATGGTAGAATGTCTATAATGACTCCAAATGAATTAGATTGTGCTATTAAATTTATTGCTAACTGGAAGGCACCGGGAGTTGACAAAATACAAGGATTTTGGATTAAATATTTAGAACAACCAAAGAAGTATTTATTAAAATTATTTAATGAATGGTTAAATAATCCTAATGAAATACCTCCTCACTTTATTCAAGGAAGAACAATATTAATATATAAAAAAGGAGATAAATTAGACCCACAGAATTACAAACCAATAACTTGCCTAAATTGTCTGTTAAAAGTGTATACATCAATATTAAAAATGAAAATAGAAAGCCAGCTGATGCTAAATCCAATTGAAAAACAACTATCATTAAATCAAATTTGATGTAAGAAATACACATATCATCAAAAGAATGATTATTATATAACACTATAATCCAACAATTATTAATAAAGGATAAATGGAAGTGGGTAGAAACATATTATGACGTCTCCAAAGCATATGACAGTATTAACCACCAATGGATTAAACAATGTTTAATTTATTTTAATATCCAACTAGCAGTAATTAATAGTATATTATACATATTAAATAATACATATCTTAATTTGTATTATAATCAATAAAGTGTAGGTATGATTAATGTAGAAAGAGGAATAATACAAGGTGATAGTTTATCTCCACTTTTATTTGTATTATCTATTGATATACTATCTAAACAATTAGATAAACAAATAAGCAAATTAAATATTAAAATGAATTGAGAAGAAAAACAAATCAAGTTAAACCACATATTGTATATGGACGATTTAAAGATAATGACTAATAATCTCGATGAAATGGAAATTACACAAATTAACTAAAGAAATATTTAATGCAATAGGATTAAAAAGGCAACGAAAAAAAAGCAAATAATTGAAAAAGAAGAGAATGAATGATATAAAAGAATAAAAAGAAAGTAAGAAGTTTGATATGATGAAGAAAGAATAAAAGTAGAAAGGAGAGAATATAAAAAGAAAGAAGATAAAGTGTAATAAAACAAAAGAGATGATAAAAGAAGAAAAGAATGAAAAAAATAAAGGATGAAAATTTTATTGAAACAAATAAAAAAAGTGCAAAAATTAATGATGCAAAATTTAATGATGCAAAATATTTAGCAACATTTTTATGGATGCAAAATATTTTGAAATAAAAATAAATCATCATTTGATATTATTATATTTGATAATAAATTATATTATATATTAAATACATCATATTTCTTTATTATTTATCTTTCTTTTTATTATTTCATATATTAAATTATTATTCATTCATTTATTATTCATATTTCATTTATTAAATAAAATGAAAATGAAAATGTAAAATATCAATCAATTAAATATTCATGAATAATAATTTATTAATATTTAATAATTAAAATAATAAATAATAATGTAACAATAATGATATATTCAATATATTCTTTATTTGATTTGTTCAATATTAGATTATTCTATTTCATTATCATTTCATTGTCTTCATTATTTTATTTCATTTATTATTTCATATTCATTTATTATTTTTTAAAATCAAATAAACAATAATATTGATATTCATTCATCATATTCATTTAATATAATAAATATACACAACATTTCAGAATAAAGAATGAATAATTAAGAATGAAAATATTGATTTATTCTATAATTTATTCAACATAAAATCAATAAAACATATATTTAGATAATACACAAATGAAATAATAAAGAAATATACAATACTCAAGAATTAATAAAAAAGAAATAAAAAGAATAAATGAATATAAAATTGATAAATAATAGAAGAAAGAAATAGAAAAACAACGAAAAACAAATAATATAAAAAGAATAAAAATATATAAAAGAATAAAAATAAAGTAGAAGAAGAATATAAAAAGTAATAAATCAAAAAGATGTAATAAAAGAAGAAAAGAAGAAATAAAAAGTGTATTTTTTAATGTAAAAATTAGAAATATTCAATAAAAGTGTCTAATTTAATGATGTAAAATAATTAATATTGTTTTATTAATGAAAAATATTTTATTCTTTTTATGTTTATTATTTATATGTATAATTTAAACATGATGTTTATTATATAATCAATCATATGTGTTATGTTATTATAGCATATAATAAGTGATAAAATATAAATGAAAATGATATGAATATATGATATAGAATATAAAACAAAAGAATAATAAGAATAAATGATAAATAAAAGGAGAAATGATAATCAATAATATTAATATAAAATCAAAGTATAAAAGATAAAAATAATATTAATATAAAACAAAAGAGAATAAATATAAATTGAAAATAGATATAAATGATAATAATATAAAAATGATAAGAATATAAAAATGATAAAGATGAATAAACAAATAATAAAATACATTTAAATATAAAAGAATAACAATAAGAAAATCCAAATAATATAAACATAAAAATAATCAAATAAGAATAATATAATAATATATAGATAATAAGAATAACACAATGATATAAATAATATAAACAGAGAAATAAATATAAAAATACGATAGATAAATAACATATAAATAAAAGAATAAAAAGAATACAAATAAATATGAATAATCAAATCATCTATTTCATTAATATTTCATATAAAATGAATACAATTGAAAATAAAATATAAACATAAATATTTACATATTCTGTATTTATCATACTTTTTATTTTTTATTTTTATTTTAGGAGCAAAATATAATAAATGGAAAATTCTATGGATGCAAATTATTTTGCATCTTTTTTTCTTTTTTGTAAATTATTTAGATGCATTTTTTCTTTGCTAATTTTCGTACCCGATTTTACTCATTACCATTTTTTGTTCAACACATAATGAAAGGAAATAGAAATAGAAAAACAATCAAAATAATTACACGATTTTATCATTTCATCAACAAATGAAGAAGATAAATCCAATAATAACAACACAAAAATAAAAGATGAAATGAAAAAACAATAAGACAAAAATCAAATATGAAATGAAAAAACAAGAAATGAAGAAGTAGTTATATTTAAGAACAAAACTAAAATCTAATACATTCAATGATTTTATTTCTCTTGATTATTGTATTTAGTAGTGCAACAGAGATTAATACACTTTTAAAGAGTGAAACAGAAACACCAGAACATGGAAATGAAGGAGTTGCAAAACCAGCAAATCCTCAACAAACGCAACCAGCACAACCACCAAAAACAGTAAATTCACAAGAAGCACAAACAAGACCAGATCATGTATCAGAACAACCCAAAGAACCAACACAGGAAGTTGCACCAACAGGACCAACCAACACCAAATCACCAAACCCACCAGAATCTTCACCAAATCCATCAGGTTCATCAAAAGATGAAGCAACAACAGGAACAGGAGGTTCACAAGCAACACCACAATCAACAGGAGCTTCCTCATCACAAACCACACAACCACAGTCAAAAGATTCTGTGTCATCACCTCAATCACAAAACACACAATCAACAGGTTCACAACCAACTCAACCATCAACATCTCAAGACACAAAACAATCTCCACAAAGTACAAATCCACCAGTTTCAAAACCTGAATCATCACCATCATTAACACCTAGTCCAGAACAAACAGAAACACTTAGTCAATCACCAACCACATCACCACAACAAGATGGTCAACAAAGTAAACCAGCACCAGCAGAAACAACTAATCCAACACCAAATACACCAGCAAAATCAGACCAATCACCAGATTCAAATCCAGCACAATCAAATAATCAACAACATGAACCACCAACAGATAACCAACAAAACAAACAACAAAATGAAACACTAACACCACATTTACCAAATAAAAATGAAACAACAAATGGAACAGAAAATAATAATGTGAATAAAACAAATGATAATTTGAATAATCATAATCTTAATGGTGTATCTTGCATCTCTATTATTCTCTCTTTCATTTTTACATTTATTTTCTTCTAATTGATGATATTTAACTTTATTTATTTATTGTTTAATTGAATAATACTTAATCTGTATTTATCATGAAATTTCAATTCTATTTCATATCAACATATTTCATTATTTATATTCATTTCTATCACATTTTGATTTTATTTAATTGTAACAATATAAATATTTGACACATTAGTTTTATGAATATTTAATCATTAATCAAAAAAATAATTCTGAAAATAACACTCTCATTTCTATTCTTCTTCATTAAGAAATATGAAGAGTATTAATATTTATTGTTTGATTATTCAATACAATTATTTGAAAATGACAAAGTCATAGAAATTAATAGAAATAATACATATTGTTTAAATAATTAATGAATGTTCAAAATAATTAAAAGAACAATTTCAACAATAGAAATGAGTTGAGTGATTTATTCAATGGTGTGTTTGAATCAATATTAGTACAATACAATGAATTAGTATAATGTTCATTTTATTATTCTGATTGATATGAATATTTTACATTGTATTTTGATTATTATAATAATGTCAATTCATACACATTTTATTTAATTGTTTTTGTTGAAATATTTGATGTGATAAATGATGGAATGAATAATAAAGAATTACAGAACAAAAAGAAGAATGAAACAAAACAAAATAATTTTATTTGTCAAATGAATATTGAGTTACAATAATACAAAAGATTAAACAATAGAATATTAATGATAAAATAAGAAACAACAAAAAATAAGAAAAGAATAAGAAAAGATAAAAGTATCAAATAAAATGAATAAAATAAGAAATAGATAAATCAGAAAAGAATCAATAAGAGATGTGAATAAGTTATAAATGGTAAAGATGAAATTAAAATGATTGAGTGGAATGAAAATAACAATGAATTGAATGAATGTAATAAACAACAATATAAAAGAAATAACACATAAATAAGAAGGAGAAGTTCATGAATGAAATAATAAAATAAAGGAAGAATTATAAAATCAACATGATAAAGAAAATAAATGAAATAAAACATACAATATAAATACCATCTTCAAAATACATAATTAATAAAGAAACAAATACAATTATTAGAGAATGAAATGAATAATCTACAACAAAAACATTAAACGAAATAATAGAAGAAATAAACCACAGAATTATATGATAAAATGAATAAAAACAACAAATTCACTGAATCTAATACAAGAAATATTTCAATTTATGAAATAATGACACAAGACAATCTTCATAAAAATCAAAGAATGAGTATAAATGAAGAAATAATTAAAAATTTAATGAATAAAATAAGAATGAAAGTTTCACTCAGAATGAAAACTATATTGAATAAAACAAAGTAAAGAAGAACAAAAATACCAACTCAAATAAATTCATAAAAAATAAAAAATACTCAAAACACTTATAATTCAAAAGATAAGAAATTAAACTAAATTTAAAAGAATTTTTAATTCAACAAATAGAAAAATATACAGAAAAATATTAAATATACTATTTGATTCAAATACCAATGATTGGAAAGTTAATACATCAGTATTTGATCAAAGAATAATGAATAAAGAACATATAATAATTATTGAAGAATCATAATGAAATAAATTTGGAGGATATGTTAATTCTAAAATTGATAAAGTTGGTAAATGGATAAATGATTCAAAATCATTTTTATTTTCATTGGAAACAAATTGAAGAATAAAATGAATGAATAAATTTGATATTAAACAACAATATGCATTTTATTTATTTAATCAATCACATGTTTATTTAAATTTGGATATAGTGGTATTCAAGTTTATAAAGAAAATGATAAAATAACATTGTAATTAATATTCAAATGAATATTAAGAATATTAAATACATTTTTGTAAAAATATAATTTTGAATCAAAATAAATCATAATAATTGAAATGAAAAGAAAATAATCAATATGAATTAATTGAAATGAAGAAGAGAAAACAAATAATGTTATGAATATTAAATAATTAATAAATGTTAATTATACACTTTATATTTAATTCTGTTGTGATGTATCATTGTTATATGAATATTTAGAGTATTATTTTAAAGTATTAAATTGAATAATTCATTGTTAGATAGTTTTGTTCATTCATATGATTTGAATAATAATTGATTAAAACAAAACATTACTCCTTTGTTTAAACATAAAAAATTGTATGTATTGTGAATTGTGTTGATGTTCAAGAGAGTTTTTGTGAAAGAGGTGTTTATGCAATTAAAGAAACAGATAATTTGTATCATATTGCATATAATGAGTTGTATATAGTTTGATGTGATAGAGAAGGTATTGTTGAGAAAGAAATAAAGAAACAAAAAAGAAATATTAATTTTGGAAAGCATATTGGTGTAGAACATTTACAATCCATTAATTATCATTTGTTCTTTTCATTGTTTTGATTCTTATTTTCTAACTTATTTCTTCATTAGAAACATTCACTTTATTTCTGTTATTTCTCATTTGAGATAATTGTTATTAAATTCATAATTAAATTATATGTTGATTGATGATATTTTCTATTATCTTTAACTTATTCTATCATTAATAAAACTGTTAATAAAGAGTTATATTCAATTTCATTTGTTTTGTTGTATTTCATTTAATCATTCACATTTCATAACACTCTTTGTTGTTTGTTTCTATCTTGTTATTTCAAACATTCAAATTTATCAAAAACTAATCAAATTGGTCATTATCAGATTTTCTTATTTAAGAAATGAACCTCTAAATCTTCCCATTAGCATGTTATTACCACCAACCATTCAAAATACTCCCATCATTTCATTTTCTTGTTCTGTTATTACTTCAACATTATCACACTCATTCTGTTTGATTGAATTTGATGTGTCAACTATCTTCATATTATGACATTTTATCACTTTAACATCTTTTCCTTTAACATCTTTCTCAATATTAATTCCTTTACACTCTTCATTTTCAACTTTCTTCATTTATTCATTTGTTCTAAATCGGGTACGAAAATTAGCAAAGAAAAAATGCATCTAAATAATTTACAAAAAAGAAAAAAGATGCAAAAAAATTTGCATCCATAGAATTTTCCACTTTATTATATTTTGCTCCTAACAAATAAAAAAATAAAAAGTATGATAAATACAGAATATATAAATATTTATGTTTATATTTTATAATCATTTCTATTCATTTTGTATGAAATATTAATGAAATAGATTATTTGATTATTCATAATTATTTTTATTATTCATATTCTTTTATTTATATGTTATTTATCTATCGTATTTTTATATATTTATTTCTCTGTTTATATTATTTATATCATCTGTTTATCTATATATTATTATATTATTATATTCTTCTTATTTTATGTTTTTTATGTTTATATTCTTTAGATTTTCTTATTGTTATTCTTTTATATTTAAATGTATTTTATTATTTGAATATTCATCTTTATCATTTTTATATTATTATCATTTATATCTATTTTCATTTTATATTTATTCTCTTTTGATTTATATTAATATTAATTTTATCTTTTATACTTTTTATTTATTATTATATCATTGATTATCATTTCTCCTTTTATTTATCATTTATTCTTATTATTCTTTTGTTTTATATTCTATCTATGTTATATATTCATATCATTTTCATTTATATTTTATCACTTATTATATATTATAATAACATAACACATATGATTGAATATATAATAAACATCATGTTTAAATTATACATATAAATAATAACATAAAAAAGAGTAAAATATTTTTCAATAATAAAATATTGTTAATCATTTTACACAATTAAATTAGACACTTATTATTGAATATTTCTAATTTTTACATTAAAAATACACTTTTTATTTCTTCTTTTATTATCTATTCTATTTTATTACTCTTTATCTTCTTCTACTTTTTCTTAGTTTCATAATTTTATTTTTCATCACCTTCTACTTCTTATTTCTTTTTATTCTTTTATATCTTTCTCTTCTTTTTCCATTATTTGCTTTTTTCGTTGCCCTTTTTAAGAAATAATCAATTAGTTTAAGTAGCATGAACCAGTAGTTTCATTATAATCATAACTTACTATACTGAGAACATTAGAGAAAGTGAAATCACCTAAGATTCTTTGAAGACCAAATGGCATATTATTTAATAGGATCTGTAGATAATCATTATATTCAATAGAAACAATATGATGATTAATAGTAAGTGAGGAGTAAGCATTTTCTCCAAATAAGAAGAATGAGTCATTAAGATTAAATGACAAACTACTTTCTAATGGAACTTGAATTTGACTCTCACTTGTATTACAGTACATAATAACGTCATATTTTGTTTTCTTATCATTAATTAGAAATAAGAATCCTATTCCATATATCTTTTCATTAGTATTATCAGTATCATCATCATTATCATCATTAGATAATTTAACATTAAATCTTAGGTCATAATTAGCCTTTGTTCTAAATAATTCAGTCTTTAAACTAGTCATATCAACATTGATTTAAGATGTGTTACTATTCTCTACTATTGCTGTAGCACTTTTCATATTAGTAGGATCAAATTGAAGAATCTGGTCCACTTTATAGACAGTGATATTTCCAGCATAATCATTTATATCAAAGTTCTTTGCTGTAGGTTTTGGAGTAAGTCCACTTCTTCTTGTGGATGCTAGTGTACGTCTTGATCTCATAATTTTTCTTAGTTTTAGTGAAAAAGAAATAAAAGACAAAGAATAGATTAATTAGATTCTAGTACTATCAATGAATATCTTATATGAGACTGAAGATACATAACATGATAGTTAAATAACCAAGTATTATTTGAGCTTTATTCTCAACATGATTATAGTTATAGTCATAATCTAAATTTAATCCTGGTAATTCTTTTGAAGGGTCAATATAAAAATAATTTTTCTGAGTATTTGCAAAACAAATATCTAAATCATTAGTGAAGCTATTAACAAGATTTAAACAATATGAATCAGAGTATTCACCACCATAAATTGTATTATTTACTATAGTGATATTTAACCATCTTCCATTGTCAGGAAAACATAATTTCTTTTTAGAAAAAATAGTTTGTAAGTTTTTACATCCTTGGTCATGATATGTATAAATGAGAAGATATGAATTCCTAATTTCATCAATAGTAGAATAATTAATTTGAAGTGTACGGTTTTCAATAGGAGCAAATGCATTTTTACAATTTTCCATAGTACTGTAATAAGTAAAATTCATATGTGTATTGTTGTTATAAAAGAAATAAGCAGCATAATCAGTAAAACCAATACAACTATTAAGAGGATAATATTCAGTTTGATATTCATTACTAACATATTTAAAGTACTTGTATGATTTCTCCTCATTTCTAGAATTAAGTACATTGTCTTGTGCATCAATAATATCATAGAGATATCTTCCTTCAACATTAATAACTGTTAAAATAATAAAAAAAAACATTGAACAAATCTTAGTGGTAATCTATCTTATTTAGTTTAAGGGTATTATTAGATGGGTACGAAAATTAGCAAAGAAAAAATGCATCTAAATAATTTACAAAAATGAAAAAGATGCAAAAAAATTTGCATCCATAGAATATTCCACTTTATTATATTTTGCTCCTAAAATAAAAATAAATAAAAAATATGATAAATACAGAATATATAAATATTTATGTTTATATTTTATTATCATTTGTATTCATTTTGTATGAAATATTAATGAAATAGATGATTTGATGAATCATATTTAATTATTTTTATTCTTTTTATTCTTTTATTTATATGTTATTTATCTATCGTATTTTTATATTTATTTCTCTGTTTATATTATTTATATCATTATGTTATTCTTATTATCTATATATTATTATATTCTTCTTATTTTATTATTTTTATGTTTATATTCTTTAGATTTTCTTATTGTTATTCTTTTATATTTAAATGTATTTTATTATTTGTTTATTCATCTTTATCATTTTTATATTCTTATCATTTTTATATTATTATCATTTATTCTCTTTTGTTTTATATTAATATTAAATTTATCTTTTATACTTTGATTTTATTATTATATCATTTATTATCTTTTCTATATTTATTTATCATTTATTCTTATTATTCTTTTGTTTTTTATATTCTATATCATATATTCATATCATTTTCATTTATATTTTATTAAATATTATATGTTATAATAACATAACACTTATGATTGATTATATAATAAACATCATGATGAAGTTATACATATAAATAATAACATAAAAAAGAGTAAAATATTTTTCATTAATAAAATATTGTTAATCATTTTACACAATTAAATTAGACACTTTTATTTCATATTTCTAATTTTTACAATAAAAAATACACTTTTTATTTCTTCTTTTATCATCTCTTTGTGATTTATTATTTTTATATTCTTCTTCTACTTTATTTTTATTCTTTTATATATTTATATTCTTTTTATATTATTTGTTTTTCATTGTTGTTTCTATTTCTTTCTTCTATTATTTATCAATTTTATATTCATTTATTCTTTTTATTTCTTTTTTATTAATTCTTGAGTATTGTATATTTCTTTATTATTTCATTTGTGTATTATCAAATTATATGTTTTATTGATTTTATGTTGAACAAAATATTGAATAATTCAATATTTTCATTCTTAATTATTCATTCTTTATTCTGAAATGTTGTGTATATTTATTATATTAAATGAATATGATGAATGAATATCAATATTATTGTTTATTTGATTTTAAAAAATAATAAATGAATATGAAATAATAAATGAAATAAAATAATGAAGACAATGAAATGATAATGAAATAGAATAATCTAATATTGAACAAATCAAATAAAGAATATATTGAATATATCATTATTGTTACTTTATTATTTGTTATTTCAATTATTAAATATTAATAAATTATTCATGAATATTTAATTGATATTTTACAATTTCATTTTCATTTTATTTAATAAATGAAATATGAATAATAAATGAATGAATAATAATTTAATATATGAAATAATAAAAAGAAAGATAAATAATAAAGAAATATGATGTATTTAATACATACTATAATTTATTATCAAATATAATAATATCAAATGATGAATTATTTTTATTTCAAAATATTTTGCATCAATAAAATATGTTGCTAAATATTTTGCATCATTAAATTTTGCATCATTAAATTTTGCACTTTTTTTATTTGTTGAAATAAAATTTGCATCCTTTATTTTTTTCTTTCTATTCTTCTTTTATCATCTCTTTTGTTTTATTACACTTTATCTTCTTTCTTTTTATATTCTCTCCTTTCTACTTTTATTCTTTCTTCATCTTCATCTACTTCTTACTTTCTTTTTATTCTTTTATATCATTCATTCTCTTCTTTTTCAATTATTTGCTTTTTTTCGTTGCCGTAGCTTTAATATAGAATATGTAACACTTACACTTTCTTCATTTTCCCATATAATAGTTATTGGTGTATTTAAATATTCTTTTGTTAATGGTATTTCTTCTAATATGGCAAAAACAAATGTTGAACATGCTTTTTCAAATTGTGCATGTGGAGAGTTAAATCCTATGTATTTCTTTCCAAATTTCCGAATAATATCAAATGGATCTTCTCCATTAATTGTTTTAACTGCTACATTTTCATTATTAATCACTTCTTGTGGAACATCAACAGAAATACCACCAGTCGTGCTTCTTTGATGTAAATGCATTTTCTTATCATCATTAATATATATTGAAAATGGAAGGAAACTGCCTAATACCTTTAGGATTAAATTTGGTTTATAAACAGTATAATCCATACCAAAACTTAAATGAGAATCTCTTATTGAAACAATAAAGTTTTTAATTTGAGAATAGAAATCATACATACTTGTTGTTTGTGTGTTTATTTTATTTAATTCTGCATCAATATCAATTTTATTATAATAATCATCTGAGAATGCTGGTTGTGGTGGATTCTTTAATATATCTTTAAAAACATATGATTCTAAATAATATTTTAATCCATTAATAATATCACTGTTTTCTTTTTCTGTTGTTTTAATTGATTCAATACATTCAAATGCACTATCAACTGTATCTATTTCATACCCTTGTTTATAGTCATTACATTGTTTTGATAATGAAAATCCAATGAACAGTAAAATTAAAATGTTCATATTTAATGAATATATCTTTCTAAGTTCATGTTTAAATATTCATTTGTCTTTATTTCCATTAGTTCCATTAATTCATAAAACGTCATCACTAAATGTTTGTGATTCAATAAAAATTACAATTATATTACAAACTTCAACTTATTATTCTTTTGTTTTGTTTTCTTTTCTCATGTTATTTGTTTTGTTGAATTTCTTCTCTTTATATTAACAATATGTTTATTCTTTTTTAGCGTTTTATATTCAAAATTGAATTAAACATCATTCAATTTTAGTATTATCATATTATTAAAAAATAAATTCTTATTTACATAATTGTTTGTTATCTAAAGAGGATTTAAAAATAATTATATAAATAACATTACATTCAATATTACACATATTTTATTCAATTTGATGTACTAAATATATATTGTTGATATACCATTGAAAGTCTATAAAATATTTTTAAACTTAGAATTAAAAAATGTATTTATTTAAATTAAATGTATAATAAATTGTATTTATACATATTCAAATTAATTCTTCATTGCGAATAAATGTGATAATTTAGTATATCCTCATTTATCTACTTCATAACTGAATGATGTTTAACATTTATTATCAAATTTCGTATGAAACAAAAAAAATTGATGAAATTAAATAAGTGAATTAAATTATAAGGGGATTAAAATAAGCAAAGAAATAATGCATCTAAATAATTTACAAAAAAGAAAAAAAGATGCAAAAAAAATTGCATCCATAGAATATTCCATTTATTATATTTTGCTCCTAAAATAAATAATAAATAAAAAGTATGATAAATACAGAATATGTAAATATTTATGTTTATATTTTATTATCACTTGTAGTCATTTTGTATGAAATATTAATGAAGTAGATGTTTTAATTATTCATATTTATTTTTATTATTTTTATTCTTTTATTTATATGTTATTTATCTATCGTATTTTTATATTTATTTCTCTGTTTATAATATGTATATCTTTGTATTCTTCTTATTATCTATATATTATTATATTCTTCTTATTTTATGTTTTTTATTTATATTATTTAGATTTTCTTATTGTTATTCTTTTCTATTTAGATGTATTTGTTTATTTGTTTATTCATCTTATTCATTTTTATATTATTATCATTTTTATATTATTATCATTTATATCTATTTTCATTTTATATTTATTCTCTTTTGTTTTATATTATTTTTATCTTTTATCTTTTATACTTTGAATTTATTATTATATCATTGATTATCATTTCTCCTTTTATTTATCATTTATTCTTATTATTCTTTTGTTTTTTATATTCTATATCATATATTCATATCATTTTCATTTATATTTTATTAAATATTATATGTTATAATAACATAACACTTATGATTGATTATATAATAAACATCATGATGAAGTTATACATATAAATAATAACATAAAAAAGAGTAAAATATTTTTCATTAATAAAATATTGTTAATCATTTTACACAATTAAATTAGACACTTTTATTTCATATTTCTAATTTTTACAATAAAAAATACACTTTTTATTTCTTCTTTTATCATCTCTTTGTGATTTATTATTTTTATATTCTTCTTCTACTTTATTTTTATTCTTTTATATATTTATATTCTTTTTATATTATTTGTTTTTCATTGTTGTTTCTATTTCTTTCTTCTATTATTTATCAATTTTATATTCATTTATTCTTTTTATTTCTTTTTTATTAATTCTTGAGTATTGTATATTTCTTTATTATTTCATTTGTGTATTATCAAATTATATGTTTTATTGATTTTATGTTGAACAAAATATTGAATAATTCAATATTTTCATTCTTAATTATTCATTCTTTATTCTGAAATGTTGTGTATATTTATTATATTAAATGAATATGATGAATGAATATCAATATTATTGTTTATTTGATTTTAAAAAATAATAAATGAATATGAAATAATAAATGAAATAAAATAATGAAGACAATGAAATGATAATGAAATAGAATAATCTAATATTGAACAAATCAAATAAAGAATATATTGAATATATCATTATTGTTACTTTATTATTTGTTATTTCAATTATTAAATATTAATAAATTATTCATGAATATTTAATTGATATTTTACAATTTCATTTTCATTTTATTTAATAAATGAAATATGAATAATAAATGAATGAATAATAATTTAATATATGAAATAATAAAAAGAAAGATAAATAATAAAGAAATATGATGTATTTAATATATAATATAATTTATTATCAAATATAATAATATCAAATGATGAATTATTTTTATTTCAAAATATTTTGCATCAATAAAATATGTTGCTAAATATTTTGCATCATTAAATTTTGCATCATTAAATTTTGCGCTTTTTTTATTTGTTGAAATAAAATTTGCATCCTTTATTTTTTTCTTTCTATTCTTCTTTTATCATCTCTTTTGTTTTATTACACTTTATCTTCTTTCTTTTTATATTCTCTCCTTTCTACTTTTATTCTTTCTTCATCTTCATCTACTTCTTACTTTCTTTTTATTCTTTTATATCATTCATTCTCTTCTTTTTCAATTATTTGCTTTTTTTCGTTGCCTTCTAAATCTAATGTCATTCATTCTTTTCAATACAAGTTCTTCTTTACATTGTGAGATAATGCCTTTAATTCCACTACTATTAGTTATAAATACTTTGTTACACAACTCACTTGAACTAATATTAGACATTTCTGAATTTTCAATACGTACAATATCAACACCTGTATTATGAAAACTTCTTCTTATTAAAATACCTACCATTTTACTATCAACAACTTCTAATGACTTTTTATCTCCATAAATTTCAAATTCAATATTTTCACATTTGTTAAGTAATAATGATCTTACACATCCAATTTTTGTGTAAGTTTCATATCCAATATCTTGTTTTTCTTTATGATTTTTACATTTAACCATTTTGATATTTCCATATTCTTCATATTCTCCTTCAATTATTATATCCTCACTGTTTTCTATTGTAATATCACTATTAATATCACTTTGAATTTTAATACGACTGTCGTATCCATTTCTTATTATAACATGTTTCTTGTCTGTTTCTATTTCTATGTCTTTCTTTTCATTATTCATATCTATTATTTCTCTATCTTCTTTTATATTCTTCTTTGTTTCTGGAATACTACATTCTTCATTATCTATTGTGGTGATTTCTTCAAGATTATCTAATTTCCCTGTAATTTCTGTATTTTTACATCTTGTTATTTTCATTTCATTATTTTCATTCTTCTTAATTATGATTTGGCAATTCTCACATTCATCAATATATAATTTCTTACATTTATCAAATAACTCTTCAAAAATATAATCTTTCATTGACACAATATATATCTCTTCGGCTTCTTTCAGTGGTATTTTAATATATTCTTCAATTGATTTAAAGACAATTCTCTTTGGTTTAACATCATTTTCATTGATTGTAGATTCAACTACTTTCAATGATTTACATTTTTCATTTCCTTTAATACTAACTTCTTTAGATTCAATAATTGTTAATTTATTAATTGGACACTTTGTTTTAAATTCAATATTATTTCCTTCTATTATATCAATGTTTTGTTCATTGTTTGCTTCGATTTCAATTTTGAAATTCTCACATTTTTCAATACAAATATCAGATGATTTGTTTGTTGTTAATTTGAATTGTGTTTGTTTATTATCTTCTAATTTCATTCTTTCAATACTTTCTGTTTTAACACTAATTTGACTTTCTACACAATTATTCATGTCAATATTTTTTAATTTATTTGCTACTAAATTAATATGTAAATTACAACAACTAATTAATTGAATTTCTTCAAGATTTTGGAATGTGGTTATATTTTCTTGTATTTCTTTCCAATATCTTCTTTTATTGGTTGTAATTCCTTGTTTTTCTTTCATTTCATTTACTTTTATTCCTTTTCCATGTAGTTTTATTTGTTTTAAATTATTTACTGATAGAAATTCAATTGAAGAATTGATATAATTCATTTCTAAACATTCAATGTATTGTTGATTTATTATAATATTTGAATCTCTTGTTTGAACATAAAGGTATTTGATATATTCAGGTAATTGTGGTATTTCATGTAATTTGATTTTTTGGTTTAGAACAAAGTCTGGTAATAACGTTTTATAACATGTAATTGAATCTACATAAAAGTCATTAAGAATCTTGTATACTTTCTATTTTCTTCTTTATTCATATCTTCAATATTAACTCTAATACCACATCCATCATTAACACTAGTTGGATTAAATGATGTTATTTTTTATTTGAAAATAATGAACTACTTGGTGATTTAAAAAATTTAATATTTCTTTCATTGTTTTGTTCAGACAAAACTATACTTGAAGAATAAATTGTAATTCCTTTTGGTATATCTATTTCTTTTTCTTGTTTAATAGGAATTTCTCTTTCATAAATGAGAATGATATTTTTATTCTCTCGAGCTTTAATTCCATTAACATTATTTGACACATAAGTTATCATTTCACTTGGATAAAGTGATTCTTCTATTTTCATTTTATCAAATGTTTCATTAAATACCTTTGAAACCATTTCATTACTTCTTATTTTAATTCCTTTCTTCATATTTTGAATGATAATTTCTATTATTTCATCTGAGGCATAAGAAAAATAAATCAAAGACTCTACTTTTTGAATAATTTTAGACATTCTTTCTCTGTCTTCTTTTGTAATACTTGTTTGTTGTTGACCAAATATTTTGTTTGTATCATTTCCTGTTGTTGAAAATACAAAACTATCAAAATTATAATTTCTGATATTCTCAACTTTCATTAATATTGACTCATCAACTGGAAGTAAATTACAATTACATGTTGGTGGATTAAATATTCTACAAAATTGATTAACATCTTTTTCCGATGTAAACATTGATTAACTTTCAATGAGTGAATTGCAGCATTTCTTGTTAATCATTTCAATGTTTTTTGAATGTCATTCATGTCTTTAACATGAAGTGCTACTTTCATCAAATAAACCATATCTAGTTGTTTCATTTCTCTTCTTTTATAATTTCTTGATTTAGTGACTTTCATTTAATCGTTCAATTTCTTTATTTTTAGTTCATCTTATTCGTCACAGACACAATTCTATTTATAGTGGAATAACTCTTTTTGAATAATTTTATTTAAAAATTACTATAAACGTTAATATGGCATTTCTGAAATACCACATACAAAACACTAAAACAAATTCAAACTTCGATTCTCCAAGTTATTATCTGATTATGATAGTACATTTGAATGGAAATTGTATTAATCATACGTTGATGAATGAATAATAATGAAGTATTATGGTTGAATATTATTTGTTGGAAGAGAAGAAAATGTATTTATTAAGATGAAATTAGAAGTGTTATAATGAATAATATCAAAAGAAAAGGAATATTTGATGATATTAATAATAAAAGAAAATAGTTATAATAATATAAGTGGTAATGAAATATTCAATCAACATTAAAAAAGAAAATAAAGAAGAAGTTAATTAAAATTAAAGTAAAAATTAAAGAAAAAGATAAAAAGACGAATTAAATTGAATGAATTTTGAAGAAAACAATAATAAAGAAATAAAACAAAAGAAGAATGATTTATTCACAAAACAAGAAGAAAATCTACAAATAAATAAAACAAATAAATTACTCATCTTTTAAAAAGTGAAGTTATAAGATTAGACTCATTTAATCAATGAAGAATGAAATATAAATGTATTAATATTTAATTATCTAATTTTTATTAAAGAATTTCACATTTTTTTTAATTTCTTATTTTAATATGAATATTTTATTATTGAATTACACTTTACTTTTCTTTCTATTATATCATTTACTTTCATTTGAATGTATTGTTTAGTATTTTCTTTTATTTTATGTGATATTTTAATATATTTAATATATTCTTTTTCATTATTTACATTAATGTTTATCACTTTTATAATGCTTTCAATTTGTTCATTTCTTAATTTCTTATATAATTTCTTATTTAACAAATTAATTCAAAACAATACATCACTTCAATTAAAATTCTATTTCTTTCTTTTGTTGTATTTCTTCTTGTATTTTCATTATACTTTCTGTTTCATTTATTATTCTTACAATTTTACATCTATCATTCATTTATTTAATTGGATTTTTGTTTTTAATTTCTTCTTCATTTGTTTTAATGTATTTTCTTCAATGTCTGTTGTTTTTTCTTTAAACTCTTCTTTAGTTTTTTCAATTATCTTTTTCTTTTTGATTGAATATACTTCTTGAAGAATATCATACCATCTTTTTCTTTTATCTTCTTACTTCTTGAGTATTTCTTCATATTCTCCTTTGTTTCATTCACTTGTTATTCTTTTTATTCTTTCTTGTATATCATTTATTGTTAATCATTTATATTTGTTATTTGTATAATCTTTATTATTATTGTACTTATCTTGTTTTTATTTGTTTTTTGTGTGTCTTTCATCTTCTAATCCTTTTTCCATGGTATTTCATTTATCATTATTATTTCTTTGTCATTTATTGCTAATGACATTCATTTCTTATATGACATTGAATTTCTATGACTTGTTTGCTTTTCTTTATAATACACAAATGATTTACACAATAACAATGGTATTAAAATTTGTTTTATATCCTGCATTGGAAAATATATTCAATAAAATAATACAAAAAGAAATAAAGAAAATAATAACATAAATAATGAAATGATTTGTTTAAAAGGATTTAAAATATGAATTATAAAAACCAGAAGTTAAACATATGTTAAACAATAGAATATTAATAATAATCAACAAGAAAGAAATGATGAAATTAAAAAGAAAATCATAAATTAAATTTTTAATTATTGATTGAAAAAAAAGAAATTGAATTTCATGAATAAGAATGATGTTGAATTCTTTTATTGTTTATATTTTCATTTTCTATTTATTTTCATATCCAATTAAATTATTTAGAGTGTTTAAAAGAAATTAAAATCATCTAATAAATTTATATAATGAAATTACTAGAAAAACCAACAAAATTACTTTTTATTGAAGAAACAGATAATTGTATAAGTTCATTTGTTATTTTTATTTTAAAAAATACTTTCAATATAAATACTGATTAAACTCAGAAACAAAACAATTTAATGATTTCAGAGAATGACAGAAGTGATGTATATATTATTGATACTTCTAGAATTTATGGATATGATAGAATTAATAAAGAGAATAATCAAAATATTGATGAAAGTGTCAAAAATACAAAACTACAATGAATTATACTAACAAGTAATTTTAATGTAGACAACCTTTCTAATAATCTTCAGTCTCCATTTAAAGTTATATCTGACATTTATCCAATAAAAGAATTTCTAAAGAGGTTGTATAATGAATAACTAAATGATATAATTTGATACAATAAAAAAGAAACATGAAAAAGGTTGATTTGAAAAAGAAGAAATGATTAAATTTATTATCAAAATTAGTTAATTAAGTGTTAATAGATTTTTCATATATTCTTCCTAGTTTAGTGGAGATTAATCCCTGAGCTGTTTAAAAAAGAGTAATCTCTTTGTTTAACTTATCATTTATGTTTTTCTTGCAAATTGAGAAAATCACTTCTTTGTTTTATTTTTTCTTATTAATGTCTTCTCATCCTTCTTCTGCTTATTTCTTCTTTTTAACCTTTTGTTTATTTTCTGTCTTAATTTTAAACATTTTCTTTTTCCTTTTTTCTTAATTTTATGAATGAGAGAAGAGAGTATTTCATTCCCACTATATTATTATGTTTAATTTTCTTTTAGTATTACCCACACTTTAGTACTTCCTTATATTACACCATGTAATATTCTATCATAATATCTTGCTCCACCCTTTGCAGTTTTACCTAATACATTTCTAATTCAAATACACCGTCATAACCAGATAATTACCATTAAAATTGAAGTTTGAATTATATTAATGTTTTTGTGTAGTGTTTCAGACATGCTACATTTGATATTTCAATTTTTTACAAGACAAATAAATAACATCAGAATTTCAAAAAAATTATAAACCTATTACAAACTAAAATACTCTTTTCTTATACATCTTTATCATTTTGATATATAAAACCAAATAATTCTCTACTTAAATTATGAGAGAATGTTCTGTTCACTAAAATAAAATAAATGATGTTAAATATAAAATGTCATAACACAATATAATATAAAAATTAATCAACCAAAGTAAATTCTTCCTCCTTCAGGTTTTTATTTTTTGATTTATATTAAAGTTAGAAAGTAAATAAGTATAAAAGAAATAAAATTATGTCAAAGAGTTATGTTTTTCACTATTTATAAAATTGGCAGAGGTGAATTTATTCCACAAAAGAATAAAAAAATAATTTTAAAAATAATTTTTGAAGTTTTTAGTATAAATTAAATTAATTAATTCATAGTTTAAAAAGAATATAAATATTAAAATAAACTTGTTATTTAGTTATGAAAGAGGAATTGAAAAGTTCAAAAAAAAAATCATAATTTGGGGTATAACTATTTAAAATCTAAAAATACCAATGATGCTTATTTTATTTTTAGTTACAGTTATTTATTTAACCTAGGTGATAACTACATTTTCATTAAAGATATGGCAAAAAGACTAGATAAAGTTCCAAGACTTCAAAAGGCAACTTTAACTGCTCAAACTAAAATGAAGTCAACAAACTCTAGAAGAATGTATATATTAGCTGGGTGTTACTACTTAATAACAAAAGGATGGTCATTTCTTTTTTCAAAAGAACAAAGAATAGCAAAAAAATTACACCACTTCTTCCCTATTCAAAAGATATGGAACGAAAATGGAGTAATAATATTTGATAAAGACTTTGAATATGAAGTAGTTCAAGAAGAGAAAGAAGCCAAATTAAAATTTGATACTGAAGGAATTCCAATAAAGAAAAGGGAAATTGTAATAAGTGAAAAACCAGATAAGAGGAGATTAGTTTACAATGAACTTGTTGTTATGAATATCATTAATGAATATTATATGAAGTACAATGAACTTGGGAGTGATAATAGTTTGGCACACACAAAAGTATCAAAAAATACAATTAGTAGTCAACAATATACAAAACTTCCATTAGTAAAGAAAGATGGGAAATGTATTGGTATTTATAAGAAAATAGAAGTATTAAATACAACAGGAACTTTAGTATATGACTTTCTTTGCCAATATCTAACAAAAGAAAGGGGTTCTCAAAAAAAGTGTGAAGGTGTTTTTATTGGGGACATATGTTGTTTAAATAAAACAATATATGGAAACATTCTTTTGGGATTCTCAAAAGAAGAATTTTTGGATCAAGCTATTGATGAAAGTAAATTCGATTGTTTTAATGACAAAGTTAGTTGTCCATCATTAGTATCTTGTTTATCAGTTGCTCCATGTCAACGATTAAATGAAGGTGTTAAAATTCAACCACCACAATCTCCTACTAACATTAGTAACTCAATGGAAGATAACCCATTAAATAACATTAGAGGTTCTCCTTTTGTTGAGTATCAAAGTACAGTGTTTGATTATAGTAATAAAGTATTTCCAATTAATAATGGTGAAATACTTCACCAAATTGAAGACTCAAGTAATAAAGGAGTTATTCCACAGAATAACGAGTCTGAGTCATATGTTGATATGAATAGATATAAGAATAATAAAGAATATCTACAAATCGATCATTTGTCAGATATGGGACTTAAAGAATATGGGTTTATTCAAGGTATGTATTACTAATTTTGAATAAATTCATGGGTTTTAAGTAATTTTTTGTTCATTTTATGAAGAGTTTCAATATTTTAATTTTGTGTGAAAAAGTCAATTAATAGAATATCTACATTAGATTTACTTCAAATTGAGAAGTGAGTATTTGA